TGCTGTCAAATGCAAATGATGTCTATTCTTCATTAGTCTTTTTCCTACAGCCTTAAGTGCTGCCTCATTATTAGTGACTATTTGAACAATATATTTTTTTCCAATTTCTTCCATAGCTTCATCCAATAATCTGTAGCAGAAGCTTGCATCTCTACTACAAACATTTGAGATATCTATAGATTTCCAAAAAATAGTCCACTTTACTAACAGATAAACAAGGAATTAATTGATATGCATTTTGATTCAAACTGTTGGGTCCCATACCATCACCCATTTCATTCCAATGAGCTTTTAATCCATTAACCCATTCATGAATTTATTGATACTCAGACTCTAAATACACATTTGAGACCTCATAGAGTGTTGGAAGTTTCGTATGTTGGCCAATTTTTGCTGCCATAGAAATCAAATTATGCAACCATGGAGAGTTTACTAACTGAAAAGAAAGTCGATCATATATAAAAAATTTTGATACCAATTCACCCATCTTCCTTCTTAATGTCTTTAAAAATGAATCACTTATTTTTTGTTGCTTTGAACTCTTACTTCTAACTAATTCAAGTATAGCCCCTCTTAATGAAAATTCAAACTTACTTGGAATTGATTTCCTTGTTTTTTTTTTCTCAAAATATTCAGCAACTAAGCCATGAGAGCTTCGTCCCTCTTCATGTATATTACTCCAACTACCAGTTTTTTATCTGAATTCTTATCTTTGGTGCCACTCATATTGTGATTAGATACTATCTCGCATGGCTTGTCTAGTAGCGATGTCTTCATCAATAAAACCTTCATAGTCATAGTCTTTCTTTTTTAATTGTGATAAGAATTCATCATTTTTCCTTTTGTTCTCAACTTTCTTTGATTTGCTTTTCTTGAAGAAGTTTCATCATGCTTTTTCTTACTAAACCTATTAATAATATAGTTAAGAAAAAAGAAAAAATTAGTTGCACATGTTTATGTAATTTTTATTGAGAAATTAACAATAATATTTTCAAAGGAATTATAAAAACATAACATACTAGTAACGTTGAGGCATGGTGCAATATTGCCAGTTTTATAAGTAATGTGTTCCTTGAAACGTGTTATTCTTCCTTTTATAACTTTAACACAAAGTTTGCATAAAACATTTCCTTTGATATTTGGCATGAGTGTTCAAAAATGCCAACCTATATCATCACTTAGTGCTCTTTTTACTCTTTTGCTTGGGAACTCTTCACGTGGTGGCATATTTATTATTTTGTATAAAAACAAAATAAACTTATATTTAGAAATATTAATGTTACTTATTTTATCATTAAAAATTGAATCTACATTAAATTTTTTAATTTTTAGTTTTAATCTTAAAAGTAATAGATCGTGAAATGTTAAATTTATTAAGTAATTTAATCTTTTTGATATACTAATTGATGTAAAAAAATTTTGATTACAATTTACTTTCAATATATTATATAATAAATAGAATATTTAATAATTACACAAAAATAAAAATAAATTAATAAGCATTAATTTAATAGCAAAAGAATTGACAGCAATATAAATATCAAAACAACAAAAAAATTATTAAATTTCAAATGTAAAATTATAAATTAATAAATAACAAAATCAAAATATAATATTTAATTTTAATTATTTTTCATCTAACTTATACAAAAAAATTTATTAAAATTTTTCATCTAAAATTCCTATGTATTTCATATTAAATTATTAAATTCTTAATTTTTTCAATTATAAAATCTTAATCCTCTAACTAAATTTTATCAAAAAAAATTTAAAAATTATAAAATTTTAAATGTAGATTTTAATAAAATTAATTATAAAATTAAATAAAAAACACACACCTCATCCTACCTTCCAATGCACCCAACCTCACCCAATCTCACCCCACCCCTCCACCCTACCCTCCAATGCACCCTACCTCACCCAATCTTACCCCACCCCTCCACCTTATCCTCCAATGCACCCCACCCCACCGAATCTCACCCCACCCCACCCTAAACCCCAAACAGCCCACCCCGCCCCACCCTAAACCCCAAACAGCCCACCCCACCCAATCTCACGTCCCACCCTCACCCTTTACCCTATCTCAGAAATTAAGAAACCGCCCTTTCTCTTTCAACCCCAAATTCTTAAGTGTTCTTCATTTTTTGATGGCATCAATGAATAAACTTAACCAAACTTTCTATGTTTTCTTGATCTCTCTTTCTCATATACCCTCATCTCTCTCAACAGATTAGATTATCACAAATATAAATATCAGCATTATTCTATTAAAATTTCACAAAAAAACAAGTAACTTAATTTTTTTTTACTTTTTTTTTATTTTGATTATTGATGAATGATTTGAAGCTAATTTGAATTTGGATAACTACCGATTAAATGATCGATAGTATCTAAAATTTTTTAAATAAATTTTGAATATGAAAAAAGAGAGAACGAGATTAAGTTATGAGCACTGAACAGAGATTTTTTTCTTTTGACTTTTGTCTTTATTTTTACTTTTGCAATCTTCTTATTTTATTTTAATTATGGAGAATCTTGAATGTTTACTGATGAAATCTGAAATATATTTTTTTATTATTATAATTTGTATTGAGCAGTTAAGTGTGGACGAAAAAAATGAAATAACGACAATAACATAAGAAATTTAATCACGATCAAAACAATGTGTAATTGCTAAAAAACGGCGTAACAAAAATAGCGGTAATTTTTGTTTATTTTCATGCTTTCTTCTTCCCGAGGGAAGAAAAGTTGCTCATAACCTCCATAGGAAGCCCCAAGCAGTGAATCCCTATAAGAGATGACTTTCCTATTTGACGTTGTTCCTGCATCCTTAGCTGCGTTTCAGTTCCTTCAACGTGGGAATCCTTGATTCTCTTAATGCTACGTTGTAGTTCTTTTCCCTTACGAGAGAGAGTTGTTGCATAAGAATAGTCATTGTTGGCATTTCGAAAGCTTTAGTGACTTGACCTTTGTCTGGTAGCTAAAAAAAATTATAATATAATAATATAATTTTTAATTGGATTGTAGTAAGATTAAAAAAATGTTTCGTATCTGAGGTATAAACATAAATTATAATATAATAATTTTTATATTTATATGTACTAATTACGAAATAAATAAATATAAATATACCAACTTACAAATATACCGCTAACCCATCTGACAGTCAAGTCCAGGCTATGAAGAAACCACCTTTAAAAACATGACCAACCAACTGCCAATCAATAAAACACGAGAAAAATCAAATCTATGAAGAAACCCGAAAAACCTGGAGAAGCAGAGTGATTGGGGTGATTGAAAGTGGACTGGAAACTGAGTTCACAATCCAAAGCCCAGTTGCCGAGGTGTTCGTTGTGCTTGGATATCGAGAAAGGAAAACTTGCTTCACTCCGACTATCTCTCAGCTCGATTTGCTCTCTGCTTTCCACACTGTGGAAATGGAACTTTCTCCAAGCTTTGGTTTTAATACATAATCACCGATAGTCACAGGTTCAGACAGACAAGACATAGATGCAGGTTCCCATTACATGCTGCTGCTTTTTCATTTTAGTAGTTCCAAGGCATGGATTTATTTAACGTTGCTTTTACTGAAGTAGAAAGCAAAGTTCAAACTTCAAACTCAAGTAACCCTTCCCTCATTCTCTACTACTTGAAGAAGAATAAACTTTCTAACTCTATCTTGATTCTCGTTTAGAGTCTGATTTGATTCAAGTAAATAAGTTCTTGGTTTTATACTTAATTCCATTGACAAAATAACTTCCACCCATGTCTTCAGAAAAAGTTACAAAACACGTATTCATTTTGAATTTATACTGGAAGGAAAAGAAAATACATGAAGGAATCCTTACGTACAATTACTACAGCAGCAATTTCAGTAAGATGATTGTTGCCTTACATGAAGGAAACTGAAGCAGTTGGAGGAATGGATATATCAGTTATTGATCCCCAAGCATCATCACTATACTATTTATGGAAGGAGTGCTGGTTCATCTTGAATATACCAAAGTGCCACCATCATCAATTTTTTTTTCCAACTTTTTCTTATACACCACCAAGCATATCCAACTCCTTTTCAACTAAACATATATAGACCCAAGTGCACTCCGTATTTGTAGAATTGACCAAATTCAACGTTCTTTTGTGTACCGGGTTACAATCATTAACAAACTACCGCTACAAGAGAACAATAAAAATTTCCCCCATATAACTCTCTTTTAACCGTTGGATTGCCAATGAAACCTGAAGAATCATAACATAAACCAAAGAAGAAAACAAAAGAAGAGCGACACAGGAAAATGAAGAAAAAAAAAACATTTGCTTCCTTTGATGGTTCGTAAATCATAAAAAAAAAAGGTTAAATAAAAAAGAAGATAAAAGGTGTGAAGATTATTTTTGATGCATTTAAATAAGGTCAAAAGGCAAACAAATTATACACTTGAGATGTGCAAATATTTCAAATCTTAAATAAGAAAATATTTTTATATTAATAATTGCTTGAATGATAAGTTAGAATGTTAGATTTTTTAATTATTATTACTTAAATTTTTATTTGTGTTAGATAGATATAATTCAATGTATGATATCAAATGTTGGATGTCAGTTAAATTATTAGATGAATTGAATGTTTATGGGTATAATAATTTAGTTACTTTACAATTTTATTAGAATTAGATTGCTAGTGAATAGAATGTTTACTAGGTTGTTAAATACTTTCGATGAATTAATTAAGTTCTTTCAAGACCGAAGCATAGGTTCAACTAAAACCAATAAGTGCAAAGACAGGAGACAACATTTTTGTTAGAAACTGCTGTGACGTGCTCCACCTGCTTTCTCATTAACTTCCAACCTCCTCATAAACGTTGTAGAGCGTGGCTTGAGTTGCTTTGCTCAAGAAGACTTGACTTTGCCCAAAGTTCTGCTGACATAGATGCCCCCCCAAACCTTCTTTGCATTACAGCCTGAGGGGCTAACTGGGAAAGGCAAGTCAATTAATGCATGTCCAAAACATGTGCTAACCAGTGAGTTTCAAGGCAAAGCTCATTCAATGTCAAGACCAATACGGCTGCATATATAGAATTTAAGAATTGGAAAGACGACCAAAGAAAAAGCTTCAACCTTTTTTTACTTCCTTTTTGGTACAATAGAACAAATACACAATCAAAATTAACCCTCCATCTCTTAAACCTGATTCCAAAGAAGGGAATCCCACATTGTCGGCACAAGAACCATCCAAAACGATGTTGGTTGCAAATTATTATTGGTAATATTGGGTTATAGCCTTAGGTACGATAACAGATTTATATATAAGAAAACCATGAAAAGTAAGAACAAAAGAAACAGAAATAGCTACCCCTCAAAATGTCATGCGCTACTACTTCAGAAATAGCTGCTAGCTAGTCCAGTGTAGAAATTCTTAAATGAAGTCTCTCAAAAGAATTAAAGGATCAAGCCTGAGATAATGATGGTGAAATTTTCAAAACTCACCAACATACAAATGAAAAAAGCTTGACTGAACTCAACTAAAAAGTAGGGTGTAAGCCTGTCATAGATGTCTAGATATTAAGATCAGTTTAGCAGTGCCTTATGGCACCCCAAAACGCTGCTGTGTAGAGTGAAAAAGGCCCTCTGTTTTGGCTCCCCAACCAAACTTGTGATGGTTGCAATTTACTGCTGCAGTGCTGACATAACCTTCAGTTTGCTTTAACCGCCATTGTGCTTTCGAGGTACTATGGTGATTGCCATCCCATGGACCTCATTTAAGAAATCTCATAGCCAAGATCACATCCAGCAGGTCTCTAACTGATAGAAAGAGTGGGGGAAATTTTTTTTCACTAACATATCCCTTTAAATCCCTAGTAAACAAGTTTTAGTATTCTAGGAGATTCATGCCTCTTCCAAAACTGACTTCAAGCTGGTCATAACATTGTGACTGCAATATGGAAAGAAGATTTGTTCTTTTTCTGTAATGCACAGGATGGGTTCAACTTCAATATGATGTCTAATAATTCAAAATAGAGTATCAAGAACAAAACTATTACACATGCTAATACCATATCAGAAAGCATTTTAATGCCGTTCAAGAGGGATGGATAAAACAGGTTCCTACATGATGATTATACAAGATCTATTTTTGCTGTCTATAAAAAATGCAACATCACTAACACGGTTTACAATATGAGACTGTTTTACATATTTTCATTTCCAGTTCCGGGATACTGTAATAATCTATGAGCATATCCAACAATGACCCATAAAATTAACGAGGAAGTATTCATTGGAAACAGAATACTAACTCTTAATCTGGCCTAATGGAAATGCTGAAAATGGAATCCTAATCTCAATAGTTCAATGATTTGAATGGAGTCCCACCATTTGAAATGATGAAATAACTACCAAAAGATGCAATGAAAAAAAACTTTATCTTTGTTGAAATTAGGACCAAATGCAGCAGGGAAACACCTGAGAAAATTCTCAATGCAAGACTTCTTTCATTGTGAGAGAAGCAAAGAAGACTTTACCTGAAGCTCCAAGCCAAGGATGATGTCGAGTGAGCTTGACTTAAAGCTTCTGAATATGCTATGTTTGTCACTTTCTCTTCTGAATATGCTATACTTATCAGTTTTTATCTTGGGATGAATTGTATTTCAAACTCTCAAGTACGGTAGTTGATTTTATTTCCCCATTCCTTTTTTTCTCAAAAATCTATGCTGATAAAATTCTTGAAAGGACAGGCGGTGAACTGCAACCATGCAGAGTTACAACTCAACCAAGAAATTTTAAGAGGAAAAAAAAAAAAACCCAGGGGTCAGGACCTAAATCAATATGTATGAAGTTAATAGTAATGCTAGACCTGGATTTACAGAAAGAAGTCTTGAACATATGTCGATACAGTCCGGATCTAATTGTGGACGAATGAGCTTAGAAAATGGAAGGCATGTAGATGAGTTGATATGCTGCAGCAGCTGAGATCAACAGAAATTTTAGGCAACATTAAAGCAAGTCAATGACTTTGTTAGGTCAAATCTCCTACCTGAACATTAGTCCTACCGCGGAAAGGTGGGTGACCATGAAGAAGCTCAAAAAGAATTGCACCAAGACTCCACATGTCAACCTATGGCTAAGCCCTAAATTTTAGTATGTTCTTATTTAAATGAAGAAACAAATACAAATTTGAAAAAGAGAGAATGCGAGAGACAGAGAGGAAAAAGAGTTCAGTAAAGAAGAAGAAAAGGTGCCATTACCTTCTCATCGTATCTTTGAAATTGTAGAACTTCTGGTGCCATATACAATGGGGTCCCACATACTGTCAGAGCATAATTGCCTGGATCTACACTTCTGCTTTTGACAAAAGAGTGGGGAAGCAATTAAAAAGGAAAATGAAGAAAGAAAAGTAATAAAAATTCCATTAAACCTTCCATAACAATTTGGGGAAAATTTTATGGATTTCCAAACACATTCTTCTCAATTTTTTCTGAACAAGTTCTGAACCTAAAATACTATCTGGTCTTACACCAACCCATTAGCTCCCTTAAAATGAAATATACCTTGAAAGACCAAAATCAGCTATCTTCAGCATGGCATCATCCTTGGAGCCCGAAAGTAGAATGTTCTACTCCAATGAAAGCACCATGGTTAACTGAATTAAAGGAATTACTGATCTGATAACTTTAAAATCATATGTCACATGCCAAACGTAGTTGCAGTTAACTGTGAGTTGCATTTCTTGATCAATTACAAAAACTTAATGCTGCAATTTTAAACAAGATACAGTAGTTCTAGTATTCTATGGAGTTGTGATTATTCCAAGATATCTATTCTCTTTTAACCTCAAAGTCTATGTGGCACCGAATTAAGGTCACTTATTATGAGGTTAACCTGACAAATTGCATACGTTTACATCATAACATCATGGGAATTAATAATACATTAGCTTAATTGTTCTTTACTTTGTCAGTAACCAGCCACAGGGTGCCACATTAGGGCAAAGAAGGAGGCTCTCACTACCTTGCAGTTGGTTAACCAGGCACACTGGGAGATAAAGGTTGCACCAAGAAAGAAATTGTATCATGTGATCACAAGATGGTAAAAGATGTTGCTTGCAAAACAGGGTGCATCCTAGAAAACTTCTATGTAAGGTTACAAATGCAAAATATAACAACCATGCCAAAGATATTGCTTTTCATACCTCTGGTTTCAGGTCTCTGTGAATGATATGGTGGGACTGTAAAACTTCCAAACCAGCTCCTGCAATAAGGAAACAAACGACACCACTCAAATATAATCTTAAATGAAGAAGCCTTGCCATCAGCCTATCACCTAGATCAAAAAAAAGTTGCTACCAAGTTGCTGCATGAATCTCCTGGCTAATTGCTCTTGAACTCTTCCATGATGCCGAATGTAAGAGGCTAGATTTCCTCCAGCACAGAACTCAAGGACCAGGAACAAACAACTTTCAGACTGAAAATCAAAGAAAACCAGCTGCTTCTTTTGTAGAGATTAGAGTAGCAAAACAGATAAGAAATAAGCAACAAATTCTAAACCATCAGCACTTGGTACTTGACTTTAACATTTAAGCTTTAGAGGACCGGAGAAAGTAGCAGCATGTTTCTTCAGTTTCATCTAAATGCAAATTATCATTAATATTCGAGACTTAAATGATTGAATATTGACTATTAAATTCCCCAATCCCCAGAAATTGCTACAAATGTGAAAGAACAAACGCAGGCATGAAATTAAACAACCAAATTTGCAAGTTAACACAGAGAAATTAAATCTGTTAATCCATCAAACTGTCCAATTCAAGAGATATATCAAATGGGTATTCCAGAAAACACCTGAAAATCATAACCAACCAACTGTTGCAATCCAAAAGAGAGAGAGAGAGAGAGAAAACCAAAGATACTAACAAACCTGTAAAACGAGGAGAAGGCGGATGATGTTGGGGTGATTGACAGAGGAGAGAAAATTAAGCTCGCAATCTAAACAGTTGGCGAGGTGTTTGTTGAGCCTGGGAAGGAAAACTTGCTTCACTGCCACTACTTCTCCACTCGATTGGCTCTCTGCTTTCCAAACAGTGGAAACAGAACTTTCTCCTAACTTTGATTTTAATACATAGTCTCCGATTGTGAAGGGTTCCGACAGACAGGGCATGGCTTCAGGTTCCATTAGGCATCTTACATGCTGCTACTTTACGACTCTTTCGCTTTAGTAGTTGCTAGACTCGTAGCGTCCATTCAGTGATGTTTTAATAATGCTTTTGTTTTTTTTTGGTCTTTTTAAGTACTTTATTATTATTTGATTATTCTTAATCTGTTCCTTACATCCTTATTTTTATTCATGAGCTATTATATGCATAAATTGTTAATTTTTTTATTATATAAATTAAATTTTAATTTTGCATAATTTTAATATCCAAAGTCTTATAATAAAATAATTTTTAACAATTTTTTAATTAATGAAAAATCATATCTTGATTTATAATTTTTTTCTTAAATGATATTTTAAAATTTTATTTTTCTCTCTCTTTTGACCTTTATTTTTTACAAGTTTTCTTGATGGATAAAAAGCATTAATATATAAGCAGAAGTAATTTTTCATTTATTCTTATGTTCTAATAACGTATAAGTTATTAGTAAAATAATACTAATTTCAATTTGACCAAAAGAATTAACTTTCATTAATTATCAAATCATAAATATCATTTAATTAAAGCAAAATTTAAAGTTGGATAACAAAACATAAGTCATTTTATACAAATATATAAAAGTCAAAGCTTTTAGTAAAAATCGAAAAAATCCTATGTGGATGACTTAAAATGTTAATATGTGAATGGTTTTAAAAATCATCATATAACATCTAATAAATGTATTTTACTCTATTTAATACGTTTTTAATTTTAAAATAATTTAAAAAACGAAATTGATTATATTTATATTTTTATTATTAACATTAAATCACTCTCAATTCAATTCATATTAAAAATATTAAAATTTAAAATTTTTCTTAATTTGACAAATTAAATCAATTACTAAATTGATTATATTTATATTTTTATTAGTAACCTTAAATTACTCTCAATTCAATTCATATTAAAAGTATTAAAATTTTAAAATTTTCTTAATTTGACAAATTAAATCAATCAATATATAATTAATAAATTAATAAATACTACAATTATAATTATAAAATAATTGATTCTTCAATCAATTATTTCATACATTTATATTTGATTAAATATAGTATCCAATAATTGATGTATTTTATGTGTAAATATAGAAAGTAAATATATCAACTTAATTCTACATAATTAAATTAATGAAATAAAGTATTTTATTAATTTATATTTGATTGATAGATTTATATTTCATTAAATATGATTTCATTTGGTTATTTCATTAATTTATATTTGATTGATAGATTTATATTTCATTAAATATGATTTCATTTGGTAAAATATTAATGCACGTTTGATTTCATTTGATAAAATATTAATGCATTTGGATTTTATTTGATTTTATTTGTAATGTTTTATAATTTTAAAATCTAGATATTAATGTACATTGATTTAATTAAAATTTATTTTATTTTATTTCCATTATTAAATATAATAAATTTATTTTATTTTATTGTTTAAATTGAAGAATCTTTAAATGTTAATGTCAGAATAAAATATTACAATATCAATAAACTTGTCATTGTTAGACCATGATTCAATCATAATTTTTATTATTTCAATATTAACTTGCATAATTTAAAATTATCTTATTAATTAACTGACAACACATATTTTGTATGAACAACTCTAGGTTAAGCATAATACATATTTAACCACTTTTTACTAATTTTATTTTTTTTTATCACTACTCAAATCTATTTTAATTTTCTCTCTAATTTTTAATTTGCATTATTTATTGGTGTGTGCTACTCAAAGGCTATTCTCTTTTTAAATTTATATTTTATATTTCTTTAACTATGATATTAGCTTCATTTTTTAAATATTTTTTGTTGATGATTGATTTAACGATGATTAGGTATATATAGGGAAAATCTTTTACCAGTAGAGTCACTATTATAAAAGTTGATACCATTTTTTGTTGGTACTATATGTCATGAAGATGTAACAAGAAACTATCTAAAATTGATGGAAAATTTCAATGTTATTCCTACAATGTTGATGTCCCTAATCCAACTCCAAGGTAATTAGTATTTATATTTTTTTATATTTGATACATAAAAAAATTATTATTCCATAATGATAATAAAAGTATTTTAAATTATTATATTATATTTATAATTATAGAATTTTACATTTTTTTATAGGTACAAGTTGAATATTAAGGCATATGATAATTCTGGAAGGACTATGTTTGTACAATTTAATATAGAAGCTAAGAATTTAATTAATAGAGATATTGACAATCTTCATGAAATATCTTATTAAGTTAAAAATTATTTTAATATTATTTAATATTCAAATTAATTGAATGATATATTAATACTTATGATTTAGGAAAATGGAGATTATAAAAATCAAGAAATACTTGAATATCTCAAAAGTAAAATTTGTGTACTCGAGACAAAGGTAACCAAGTATAATTTTGAGATAAGTAATATCAAACTTACAGTGAATAAAGTGTATGATTTTGATCTTAAGCTTGAATGTAAAAAAATTATTAGAAGAGGTATCTACAAATAGTCTAGATTTGTAATGATTATAATGATTATTTTTGTTATAAAGTTATATAGTCTAGATTATAACTCAACTGCTGTCAAATTATAAATTATTTTTTTATCTATCTCTGTACTTTCATCTATGAAATCTATTGGTTTATCAAGTAAAATGACACCTACTTCAAAGGTAGCAAAAAATATTCATCTTCACTTCAACAACTTATGGAAGAATCTCCTATGAAAAAAGTTTGTATGCGAAATTGAAATTTTTAATCTCTTGAAATAAAAAATATTATTGTCTTTTGTTTAGGGATTATTTGGATTTAATAAATTATAGTTTGAGTTTGCTTATAAATTGATGATAATTGTATAAGTATATTCAATATGTAATTAATTTATTTTATCATATCAAAATATATAAATTTAAGTAAAAATGATTATATAAGTTATGAGTTTTTCATAAACTTCATAACTTATATTATCATTTAAAAAATTTATATGCATAAAAGATTTATTAATATATGGATATATTTCCATGCATCGCACGGGTTTATGAAAAACTTAAAGTTGGATAACAAAACGTTAGCCATAATATCTAACATTTTCTCACTTAACTTACATGGAGTTATTCAACTTTATGATTTAATAACAAAATATAATGTGCACAATATAAGTTAAATCTTTTCTTTAATTGATTACATAATAAATCATCATAGAGTAAAAATTAATAAGAATCATAGTAGTTGTATGTTATTAGCTTGACATTGTTCCTTATATGTATCACATTAGTAGTTCTATATTCGATATGACATTTAATGAGTGATGCCCTAATGTTCTAATAATGTCTTCGTTAAAGACAAATCTTGTTCATATTCACATAATTTAATCATATACATATACTAACATAATAGAACATGATGCATTAATATGTCAAAAACAATACTTAAAAGAGAGCTCAAAGTATCAAATTCATAAAGAACATAAAATTTTACCATAATGTCAATAATAGTTTTCAATAATGCCCATTCTTTTGACATGTTCATTAAATGCCTTTGGCAACGAACCTTTAGTTAACGGATCCACAATCATAAGATTGGTGCTAAAGTGTTTAATTGATACTCTTTATTTTTGGACTTTTTCTTTAATGGCAAAGCATTTCAATTCCATGAGTTTTGTACCTTTTGAATACTTGTTTTTAGAAAAGAAGACTGTTGTTACATCATCACAATAAATTTTCAGTGGCCTGACAATATTGTCAACAATTTCAAGTCCTAAAATAAAGTTTTCGTAGCCATAAACCATGAACAGCGACCTCAAAGCATGCCACAAACTTAGCTTTCATAGTGGATGCAACAATGACAAACTACTTTACACTTTTCCATGAGATCACTCTACCGACTAAAAAAAACAAATAGCTAAATGTAGATTTTTTTTGTATTTATACACCTAATAAAATCTAAATTTGCATATTTTATCACCTCAAGATGATCGAACCTTTTATAAGTGAGCATATGATCTTTTGTTCTTTACAAGTATCTTAATACTTTCTTTACAGCCCTCCAAAGATCTAAATCCTAGATTATTTTGATACCTGCCTAACATTCTGACACTAAAACTAATATCTATTCTAGTACAAGTTTGGGCATATATCAAGCTTCTAATAATATATGCATAAGAAATTTGTTCCATTTGTTTGTATTCCAATTCATTCTTAGGGCAATGCATAAGGCCCAATTTATCTCATTTTTGAATTGAAACAACACTTGTTTAGAACTTTTTCATTTTAAATCCCTCTAGAATTTTATTGATAAATGTTTTCTGAGACAATCCTAACAATCTTTGTGATATATCATAGAATATTTCAATTTCCATTACATAGGATGCCTCAATCATATCTTTCATTTCAAAATCTTAGAGAGAAATTTCTTGGTCTCACGTAATAAATCTTAGTTTTGCATAATCTTAATGCTTAAGTTATTAAAACAAAATGATTTTCACAATTTCTTAATTAATGAGAAATCATACCTTAACTATAATTTTGTTTTTTTTTTTTTAATTTAGAAATGGTGTTTTATCGTTTTTTTTTCTCTCTCTTGTCCAATTTTCTTTTATGCACTTTCTAGATAGATAGAAAGTGTCAACATATAAGCAAAGAGAGGACCAATTTTTCATTCATTCTCTAATGGCATTTGTTTATACGTTCCATCAACGTATGAGTTATTAGTAAAACAACACTTTTTTCAATTTGATCAAGGGAAATACCTTTCATTAATTGTCAAACCATAAATATCGTTTTTTTAAAACAAAATTTAAAGTTGAATAAGGAAATGTTAGCCATAATATCTAACATAAATTTTTTATATTTGTAATTTTGATATTATAGCAGTTGATTCAAAGATTAATCAATTTTTTACATGCTTGCTATTCATAAACATTTAAATTAACATCTCACTAGGTGGGGAATTTTTATTGGTCTGAAGAAAAATTTTTTTATTTAATTGAGAAATTGTTTAAAGTTCACATTAAGTTTTGTCAGTGTGGCCATCACAAAAAAAATATTTCTTTTCTTGAAAGATGAACTTTAAAATAATTTTAATTGT